CCCTGGACCCTTACCAATCTGGATGTAAATTGAAAGGAGCTATATGGACAGGTCAGCTTGTTTGGAAGCGGATTACTGGCAATTTCCAGTGACCACTGGGGAATGTTGTCGCTGATGTTGGTGGTGATTGGAGACCTCGCCAGGGAACGCTTGAGTTTTCAGCCTGCTGATCTCCAGACCCGAAAAAATGAAGTCAGTCAGGATCATTGTTTGCCCACAAGCAAGCAAATATGGGTCACGTTGAAACCAAGCAGTGTATTCCATGCGCATCCTTCTGCACTGGCAATTTTTTAAAATTTTTCGCTTTGGATGGCAACAAATCCAAGACCTAGCTGTGATGGAAAGAAGCCAGAAGTCAGCCATGACCACAAACCATTCACTGGAGCCCCGCAGCATTGGAGACTTCACGTCCGAGGGCTTTACTCTGATGACGAGGTCTTGACGCGTCAACATGAGGATGTATCGAAACAAAAAAAAACATGTTTTCCACATCCCAAAAAAACGCTGTAACATCAGGAGGATATAGGATGTATGTTCATGTTGCTATTCCTTATCTCAGTTCCAGGGACACCTGACAACACACTTGAAACGTAGCCACTGAAGTTCGCCCTTGATGATCCAGGAATAAAGTCAGCACTTTATTTTCAGTCAAACACATCTATATGTATATATATAATATACATAGTTTCTACCCATGTGTAAAATGAATTAGCATGGTATAACCCCAAGTTGGAGCAGTGGTACTGGGTTTCAATGGTCAAAACATGTCAGTTTTTTTGCCGGTTCCTCCTGACGTTATCCCATATATTGTCAGTTTCAATCCAAGTACTGTGAGAAACCCAATATACTGAGCAAACATATATCGGTGTGGTATGTTTTGTGGTGAATTCATGCAATATCATGCGTTTTTCCCTGATGATAATCCAATGCTACATCGGTTCTACAACAATCAGCCCATGATTTCCGTGGCGCCTTCCAGACCCTTTCCGTGGCAGCGCGGCTCAGACGCAGAACTCCGCCGGTTCCGAAGCATAGTTCGCCAGCACTGCGGGGCCGCTCTGAAATCGATGGTCTTGGCGACCTGGAGCGCTACCCTCCTGTAAACATACCAAAACATGTGGAAAACGCTGCATTTTTGGATCATTTTCCGACAAAAACCATAATAACTGCCACATCTATGTTAGTTTACCCGGAGAAACATTCCAGACATGTGACTTTAGCGCAGGAGACGATGAGGTGGGGACTTATGATCATCCGAGTTATTCTCACCAGCTACGAGTTGTGGGATAATTTTCAAACCAGGGCAGAGTTTGAAGCGCGTTGTTGGGCCCATGTCAACGTATCTACACATGTGGATTATCTACACATGCGGATTCGATTAGAAAAAATGTGTAGTACTGATAGTTTAGAATGCTTACCGTTTTAAATCAAATTATCTTATATGATAGCGTATCATATCACATGTTGAAAAAATATATGTTCCATAGTGCAATATGCAATCAAACGACAGATCAGATAATTTCATGTCATATACACTATGATGTAGATATCTATCTATATGAATATAATTATATTATATATATATGTTCTCGTGTTCCGTGTTCCTACCCCGCCACGCAATGGTATGAGTCCCCAGGTAGCACCCCCTTCCATTCTATTTGCAAGCTATTGGCAGCATTTCTAAGGTCCAGCCTCGTATTTGCTAGGTCTTTGCAGCGTTTCTGACTACCAGCCTCGCATTAACTAGGTACATGCTACCTTTTAGACGACCTACGTAGCACACATACTCCCTCAAAGTACCTACGTGCTACCTATAGTCATATATGCATGTGCTATGTATCTACTTCCTATTTACTACCTGTGTACTCTCACAACACTACATGTGTTTAACATATACCGTACCTACGATACATTCCAATGATAGCATGCATACCATACATGCCATACGAACTTTGACCATACATACTATACCCATCATATCCATCATACATACCACACAGACCATACATATGAAGCATAGTTACCACACCTACCATGCATACAATACCAACCATTCATGCCATACATACCATACCTACCATACATACCAAACATACCATACATTCCAAACATGCCATACCAGAGCAACCACACACCCCCACCACACCACAGGGGGGGTAGGGGGACAGTACTATGGCTGACCCATGACCACGGCCGGGGGGAAGGGGGGTGGGAACGCTGAACCATGTATGTATACACACTTTAATGTCTATATATAAAATTATATGCATAAAACACACACACATATTATATATGTACCTGTCTGTATATATTAATAAAAATATAACTATATATATATATCATAATTGCGTGAAATAATGTCCTATTATATCGTATATAAACAAGTAAACTATATTACATTATATTACATTGTATTACATTAAATTACATTATACTACATTATATTACATTATATTGCGTTATATCACATATTGTATTATATTACATTATATATTATATAATAATTGATGGTACATGCTATTATATACCATATATAATATGATAGTTTGTATATTACATATTAAATGTTTGTTTTTAATTCTTATACATGATATTATATATATAACTTATATTTATTAAACTTATATTGTATATTATACATGATGCACTATGTTTTGAATTCTATCATATCAGTTCATGTCATATTGTATTGTGTTACATTACAATATATCATATTATATATTATTACATTATTATTGCATGATATTATTTTATAATACATTCTAACATATTACAAAATATTAATACTATATCTCATTTATATTGAGCTATATTTTAATATAATATCAAATTTATTATATCAAATCTTATATCACAAACTCACTGTTGATTTTTACTAAATTGTTCGTCATGTTCTATCATATATCATATATACTCATATATCACATATCACATATCACATATAGCATATCATATCATCTCATATAATGCATTGTATTAAATTGTAATGTATCATCTTAATATTGATTTACACTATATTATATTACGCGATGTTGTATTACATTAGATAATTATTTTACTCGATTATTGCAGATTGATTTCGCCAATTCACTTTGGCTCAACCTGGAACCACCCAGTCGGCCTGCTAATGCAACAAATAATACCCATATTCGCCCCTCACAATGAACAAACACAGTACTAAAGCAGTGATTTTAGGGATTAGCAGCTATCATATTCATATATTTATATATATTTATGGCTCAAGATTCACTCATGAAGCAGGCCATCCCAGGCCATGGAGCCCGGTTTCATATGTTTCATGGGATGAAGATTTTCCGCTCCCTAGGACTACCAGGTGTTCTTTGTTCGCGGTGCAAAAAGACATGAAGATCATCCAAAATGAGATCTGATTGCTGAACTGAGATATGGCTGTGAGTCAAAATTGTGTATGGAACGTTCCGTGGTGTTCCAGACGTATGGAATGAAGGGGCTTCGTAACTGGTCTTGTTCCGGAGCTTTGGAGTGTGATGAAATAAAGGCTATACATAAATAAATATTTATAAACAAACAAATAAATACATGGATGAATAAATTCATAAATATATACATATATGTGACGTATACAAAACACACCTCAAGGATATGCATGTTGAAGCTACTCACGCTGGCTGCCGCTCATTTTCACTTCTCATCTGCGCGACATCCTTGTTGTACACCTGTTCAACGCAGGTTTGCCTTGCATGGCTAGTGCTCGTGCACTAGATAGGACACAACCGGTAGCCAGTGTCACCCACTGGCTACCATGTGAAGCTGTCCGCTCAGCTTCAGACCTGTCACGCAGGTCCCACCTCCTCCTCTTAAAACTCAGAGGTCCCTATGGGGTAGATTGTGTCCCCGCGTGGCAAGACCCTAGGCTCCCATAACCCACGCGCAAAGGATGGCTTAGGAGCAGTCTATGTGAGAACCTGCCATTTGTTCACCCGGGGGTGGGTCAGGGGTGGTACATGGGTGGTCCAAGTCTGGAACGGGTATGGACCGGTATGGAACGGGGTCTGGAATGAAACGGCCCACTCCAGCACAGCACTGCCACCACGCAGCACATCTTTATCAAAATTGGCAGTTTGGAGTTTGGAGCGAGAATAGCGCAGCAAGCAATTAGACTGCCAGCTGGCAGCAGCCCAAGCACATCTCTACCATCAAACATCACAGCTGTGCCACAGCGGGCAGCAACTGTAAGTGGTGCAGGCACAAACCTGCCACACGTTGAGAGGGAGGGAGGGTTACAAGCAATCCATTCTTAGACTGCCAGCTGGCAGCAGCCAAGCACATCCCTACCATCACACAACAAAGTAGGTAGCAGCTGTAAGTGCTGCAGGCACAGACTTGCCAACACAATCACAGGGCTTGGGCATAGTAAACGTATTCTTGCATGTATGCATTCATGTATGTATGTGCGCTCATGTATGTGCGTGCAAATGTAAAATCAGATTGCACATGTTCAAATATATATATATATACAATTATATTTATAATTATATAAATATATAATTATATATATATACATACATCATAACGTATGGATCAGAGGTATGGAACAGAGGCATGGAACGGATCCTTCAAACAGGTATGGAATGGAGGTATGGAACGGGGGTATGGAACGGGTGTGGTCCCGGACCTTGTTCCGGACCTTATAATTTGACTTGCACCCATATATGATATCCTGATTCATCACTTCATCAAACCAAATCCAACCAGCCTTCTCCAGTCATGAACCCCTTTCCTGACTCACAATATGTATGGGTCCTTTTTTATGGGTGACGATTTTGATGACTCACAATATGTTCATCCCAACATGATGGTGCCATAGGTGGCACCATACCCCATCTCCAAATAGCCCATCCCAAGATATCCCTTCAGTTCTTGGTTGATATCCCACGACTTTCTTAATTCAGTGTCACCTAATTCCAGAATTTATCACCTAATCATCTCCTTAAATAGTTGGTATTTCTTCTAGCCATCAGGTTCTTTATCGCACCAAGATGCAGAGAGGGCACTGCACCACGGACATCCAGCGCTTACGCGGATGCTTTAGGGCGGAATGGAAGCCCCAGGCGACTAAGCAAGTACCGTGGAAACCTGGACAATTTCACCACAAATGGGTGGGATTTTAAACCATCTTGCGAATGGGCTGGTAATAATGATTGTTTGAGCTACATTAATCTGAAGTGAGGTTTCTTGAATTTGATTTTTGTTGCAGCCATTTGAGTCACTTGCGAATTGATGAGTTCAGAACTGGCGTCATGTTTCAATCCAACTGAAAAATCATGTCAGTTGGGATCATCGACCATCGCAACTTCTTGTGGCGTTGCCGCAGGGAGCGAGCTGCCGCATGGATTTGTCGATGAAAAATGGATTGCTTTGAGGAAGATTTTACCCTCTGTTAATGACTAACAGTTCGCGAACTGGAAAATGACCCATAGAATAGAAATAGTGGATAAAAACCCATTGATAGCATGGTGGATCTTTCCATATTTTTTGGGATGCTTACCAGAGGATAGATGAAACAAATGGATTATGGCTCATCATCTAATAGGGGGCTCTATGTCTCATCATACAGGAACACAACTTACTTGACAACAATTAATAATTAGATATACCGCAAACATACTTATGATGTTTGCCCATATATATATATACATATATATATATATGCGGAATTATATAAGCATCCAAAAACAAGGAAGGAGTTAACAATCAGCCTTCTTGTAAAAGAATGAAACATATATTGGAGTGATAGTCTAGCCACTACTATCCCTTTGTATGTATATAATATACATACACATATATATATACATATGTATGTAGGGCAACATCCCCAGATTGTAATGATCATGTCATTACTATTATAATTGTTTATCCATACGGTCCATACGTAGCATTTGAGTTCTTTTCCGGGACAAAGTATTCATGCATGGAAATGGCAAACAGTTGGATCGAGAAAATATGTGGCAAAAAAAACATGCAAAAACATGTGTACGAAGGAACGCATGTAAATGGCCATAGCAGAAGATATTGCTCACCTCTTGGAAATGCTGTAAGCTGACATTGTACAGCTAGGTTTATCCAACGGCCCAAGATGTGATCCCGCCAAGCAGCAGTGATCACAGTGCAGTTTTCTGGCCTGGAAGCAAGTCACACTTGGAACCAACAGAAACCATGTGTTTGGATACAACATAATAGTGGAAAGACAATAATAAACAATATAAAACATATGTTTCATATTTAAACACAATACTCACTAACTTAAATTGTGGCAATTTTGAGAAGCTACTCTAAAGTTATTCACAGTCTCTAGCGACCTTGGCCCACCCTTGTGACCGACCAAGCAGACGTTCGGCCTGAGATACCATGGCTACCATTTTTGATGACGAAACCATCACTCCCGGATTTTGTTCAACAAGAAACCACCATATTTGGATGTACAAAATGGTGGAGAAAAAAACACATGGTCTGCAATGTTCCGTGAAAAATGCATGGCTTTTTATTATAGCCATATTCCATTCAGAATCGCTCAAAGTTGGCGGGTCAATCATGGTGAACTAATCCATCATGGTAGGGGCTTGGTGACGCATCATTTGGAACCATCATGGCTAATAAAATGGCTTCTGATGGCAAACATCATGGCTTCTCATGTCATGGCTTATCATGAAGTTTATGGTCATTAAAAACATCATTTTACCCCATACGATGACAATTTTTCGCGCCATTTTGGGGGTACCGTTGAGACACACCATATCCAACTGTGCTGGTGGAGCTCCAGAGAGCTAATTTTAGCGTGTTAAAAAAAAAAAACCTCCAACTGGTTTTCCTGGGCCCCACACAACATTTAAACAGCTGGAAGTATATATATATATTTAGATTGTATTATATTATATCATATTAAATATATATATATATCATATCATATCATATTATATTATATTTTATTACACTAATAATAAAGCACAGATCTGGTACAGATTTAAACATTCGGAAGAGCATATAATTATATATAATTATATTACTAGCTTCTATAATTATATATAATTATATTACTAGCTTCCTCCACATCGGATCTGCTGATGCCGGCATGTTATCCCCCTGAAGCCTGCCATGGTCCAAATGGTATGTCGCCCATCGAGGTCAGGCGGTCAAACAAACACCCCCGTAGATCCTAGATAGACAAGTTAGAAACCTGAAATTTTGGCGGGAAACCTCATGTGTAACACCGTGGAAAAACGTGTTTATCTTCTCGGTGATCCGTTTAAGTCATGCCATGATGCCATGCTTCGGGCACAGTTTTGCCACGTGTTTTTTAGACAAATGATCATTTTATATCCACTGTTCCAGTACCAAAAAACATGATGAATCAGCATGCAAACCATTCAGAACATCAAATGCCCTCTGGTAAACTAACATAACTATTGAAAATGACCATTTATAGTTGATTTACCCATTAAACATGGTGGATCTTTCCAGTTCGCTATATATGTCAACCTTTACCAGAGTGTTTTGCTACTCAAATCTTCACAAAAAAATCCCGTCACCTTGGTCAGCTTGACCCTGCATCCTCAGATATCCAGATATCCCGTCATCCGCTGAGTCACATCAGCAGATTGAATTACATCTAGGCAAATCGGACAAGACATCCCATCGGTGTGTTCATCGACGGGCACCATGCTCTCAATGCATCTGCTGACCTCCAGAGGGAGGGGAACGACTGAAGGAATGTTGCTGAAAAATAGAAAATCAACAAATAGAAACAGATATGATATGATATGATATGATGGCCACTTGATGCCAATTGGATAGATATCCCTGGAAAACACGAGCTGTGTGATCTTCCTCCATTTGTAGCTGCGACCTGATCTACTGAACCACTGCCGCCGTTGGAGTCCAAGTTCGGGACCGGATTATGAAAAATCCGATTGCTGAAACCAGAAGTGTCCCAAGCAGCATAGCATACCTATTGCTTCGATCGTGACTTCCTAAATTTACCCTCTGGTTATTTAGCATAGCCATGGAAAATCACCATTTTTAATAGGTAAACCATCTATAAATGGGCCATTTCCAATGGCTATGTTAAATAACCAGAGGGTATGTCTTTTTCAAAATTGGGGATCTAGGAGAAACACTGTCCAACAAAAACATCAAGAAACACTATTTGGGGGATGCATCCCAGACAAACAACAATGGAGTGACCCAAGAACCATGAAGAATCCATTTAACAAGGTCATGTTTTCCTCCCTTTGTGTCAAGTGTAAGAAATATATTTAAGACATATATGTGATAATATGTGGTCACTGGGTTTCGCTGCCTCTCATTCTCATATCAAAGGAAACTCCATCGCTGGCTCCATCGCTGGCGATGGCTAACCCTGGCTCCACCGCTCCGAACCCGTCCCGTTCCCGTCGTTAGCCCAGGTACTTCATTCTTAATTTCCTCCATCCATGGCGGCAGAACTTCCACGCGAAAGCGCCGCTGTTGAATCATGTACAAAAATCCACCGATCCTCAGTGACTTTTGGATGATTTGGATATATTTGGATTGGTTTGATCATGAATTATCTCCAAAGTGGTGAAATGTTCAGGTTGGATTAGCCTCACAACAGCGTATTTCAGCTGGCAAACTGATGTTAAAATCACCAGTTTACCCCCGTGGCAATCATTGACCCACAATAGGTCGGAGCAACACTATCTCTTTACATACCACATGATACCACTCTATTCTAGTTAGTAACTACCATTAGTTGTCCAAAGTCTTCTTTGATCGTGGATTCAGCTATCCTCCAGTAAACGTTTGCAGTTTGCTCCTGTGGAAGTGTGATGTGTCACACCATTCCTCAACAAGGGGTTTCACGCTTCACACCCTGGATGGATTGTCTAAAACATGGGGTATTCCTAAAAACCCAAGGGATTCATTTGCCCTATCAAAATGCATTTCTCATTTTCAGACACAGTCATATAGACCTGCCAAATACCACCAAAAAATGCGAAAGATGATAAGAACAATCGTGTAAACCACCTTATTTGTGGGTGCTTGGAGGGTCTAGGTAGTTTCATAATACCACAAACAATCAGATTTATGGGTCCATTGCTTCTTCAAGGGCAAGCTTGCGCCACTTGCCCAGTTGGATCGGCCGTTGATGATCCATGTATTGAACATGGGACATGTTCCATAGCTACTTTATAAGTGACCGGAGGGTATAGTCTGTGGTCTGTGGACTAAAAAATGGTCTGAGGAGGTAGTGGTACTCACATTCCTCAGTATTCCACTTTGGGTGTAAGATGGCTGTCCATTTCCCCATTGATCAATGGGAATTCCAGGATCCTAAAATGGAGCTACACCATCTAGGGCCATATTTTGCTGGGATATTCCCTGAAATTTGGGCCTTAAAAATAGGCCAAAAATATATGTTAGGTACCTCCAATCAATCGGTTCCTGAGATGGTGGATAAATGTGGCAAAGGCTCCATCCACAGGGGCTGTCCAGAAATGCTGCTACCACAATAGCTGGATGGTTTCCGAAATGGAACCCCCCCAAAAAACATGGATGATTTAGGGGTACCCCCATTTTAGCAACCACCCATTTATGCATGATCCTTATGTTTTTTTGAAAAAATGGATTCCCCCATGCCGGGTGGCTTTGACCGGTTTCCCAAGCTCAAACTGAAGTGACCAATAGGAACTTGATTTGGTTCCCTGAATGTGGACGTTAACAATCAACAAACACAGGTAACGAACTGGAAAATCACCATCTTTCAAAGGTAAATCATAAATCATTTATTATTTGGCAATTTTCCATAGCTCTGTAAAATAAACAGAGAGTAGCCAGGATTATCATATTTTTCCAAGTCCAGAAGATCATCTTTCGGAGGGAGCACTTTTTTTCGGCTGGAAAAGCCATAAAGTTGAGCGGTTTGACCCACCGACTCCACACAAACATCTGCATATACACGTATACATTCGCACGTATGATATACATAAAGATTAATTTTCAATTAGCACATTTTTCTGCTCATAGCAGTTTTTGGTTGGATTTACGCTCGTTCTGACTTTTTATGCTCACTTAAACTAGGGAATGCACATTTGTGTCCTGACGGATGGGTATTTACACTTATTTCCCGGGTATTGACGCTTATTTCCTAGGGAATTCTGCTAAATATGTTTGGCTTCAAAATGCACAAAGTGCAAAGTGGTGCAATGAAGCTCATTTGGAGAAAAAAGCTCAAAAAGCATAAGTCTCTCGGGTGAGCATTTATTTGTGTGTTTTCCAAGGATACATGTATATGTATATGTTGGTATATATATATATATATATGTACATGTATGTATGTATGTATGTATGTAGGTATGTAGGTATGTAGGTATGTAGGTATGTACGTAGGTACGTAGGTATGTAGGTATGTA